TGAACGGTTGAAGTACTTTCATCACTATATGATTGGTGCCCAGATTAACCGGAAAGTTGGTATAGAATAGATAAAAAAGAAATGCAAATTTTACCTCGATGACTCTTAAAACTCGCTTATAGCCATTCTCTTTAGGTAGTTGGCTATGTCAAATTAGGGTGCATTTGACAACCATTCTGTTTCCGAAAATAATTTCTGTTCAGAAATGATTCTTTTTTATTCTGTGCCTGGAAATAATTTCTAAACATTTGAAAGTGTTTGGTAATTGCTCAAAATTTCTATTCTTGGAATAGAAAAAGAACATAAATGCGTTTGGTAACTGCGAAAAATTTCTTTTTATTAATAACATTTTAATAATATTTTGAATATTTTAATATTTCTTTATTTTTCTTCTTCTTTCCTTCCTTGGCCATGGCCAGGTCACCGGCGTCGGCGACCGGCCACAGGCCGGGGCCGGCGAGGGTGACGTGGCTCTCGCCCAATCTGGAGAGGGCGGCGGCGAGGGTCGCCCACGCTAGATCCGGCGAGGGCCGTGACGCCCTCGCCGGCCTTGGCCTGTGGCTGGTTGCCGGTGGCTGGCGGCCGGCGACTGGCCACAGGCTAGGAAGAAGAAGAAGAAAAAAATTGTCTTTTCCATTCTGATTCTTGTTCTCAGAATCAAGAATTAACTTTTTTTTACTTCTTGATTTTGTTCTAAAACTGATTCTGGAAATAAATTTTTGCAAATTTGTGCCCAGTAACAAAAAATTTACCAAATAGATTTCTATTCCAAAACTGATTCTGGGAATAAAAGAATAAAAATAGTTACTGTTTGGCCGGTTGCCAAACACACCGTTAGGGTCCACAGCTTGTCGTGACCTTCTCGGGGCAACATATAGCCAACAAATCTCAAATAAATAAGCTTGAAGATTGAAAAAAGAGAGGCAAAGATTCTTGATTGACATCTAAGGGTACGTATGGTAACATTTCTGTTCTTGGGAATAATTTCTATTCGGAAATAGTTTTTTCTATTTCTATTCTCTAGACGAGTTTCTGAGCAGAAGAATGCATTTGGTAACTGCACAAAATTTATATTCCTGGAATAAAAAAAGAATAGAAATGTGTTTGGTGCGATCCTAAAAAATTCTATTCCCATCTTTTTCATTTAATTATAAAAATGTCGGTGGAGACTTAACAATTTATGTTCGGATAAAACTGGACTAGAAATAGAATCAAAATATATTATGATATAGAATTAGATGACCTTAATACAATCACAAATAAAATTACTCCTTATAGATAAAATAAATACAAAGGAAATTGCAGTTTAGGGTTTTAGGATTTATGGTTTACGGTTTTGGGGTTTAGGGTTTTATGGTTTCAAGTTTGGGATATAGGGTTTAGGTTTTATGGTTTTGGGTTTTAGGATTTTAGGGTTTCGAGTTTGGGGTTTTGGGTATAAGTTTCAGGGTTTTAGGATTTCGATTTTTGGGTTTGGGGTTTAAAGTTTAGTGTTTTGGAGTTTGGGTTATCAGGGTTTAGGGTTTGGTATTTTGGATTTTGGGTTTTAATGGTCTATGAAATTATTTTTCTAAAATGACATTGTTTCTCTTTTTGTTCCTGGGAACAAAAAAGTAAAATTTTTTTACTTCTTATTTCTATTCAAAATATATATTCTCTGGCCACTTTTCTATTCCGGGGAATAGAAAAATTAATTAATGTATACAAACGAATTTCTATTCTTTTTCTGTACCGAAAAATAAAAAAACTGAAAAATAAAAAAATAAAAACGTTATCAAACACGTCTTAAGTCTTTCCCACGCTCAAAAGCCTTCCTCTGCAATTCTAAACTTTTCGACGGTGACAATGTCATCCATCGTAAGTTGTGATGATTGTTACTCTGGCGCATCTCCATCAAGCCACGGTGATTGTTGCCTCGCTGGCGAGAACCGCAAGTGCACCTTTGTCTTTTCTATCCCTCACCAAGTACTTGTACCCTCACATAGAAGATGGATTGGCTTGGTTTAAAATGCTGCATCAGTGCTCATGTAATCAGCTACCGGAATGAAGTTCTACCTCGATAACTCTTAAACTAGCTCATAACCATTCTCTTCAGGAAGCAAGCTATGCCGAATCGGGGTCCATAACTTTTCGTGACCTTCTTCGGGCAATGTATAGCCGTCAAATCCCAGACATATAAGCTTGAAGATTGAAAAAGAGAGGCAGAGATCCTTGAGCTGACCATCTGGGCCTCCTCCCACTCGCGCTTAAAAGTCTCCCTCTGCAATTCCAAATATTTTCAATGGCGATAACTCAACCACCGTGGCGCATTTCTCTCAAGCCACGGTGACTATTGCCTCCGCAACGCTGATGAGAACCACGAGTGCACCTTTATCTGTTCCTCCCCTCTCACCAAGTACTTGTACCCTCGCATGGAAGATGGATCAACTTGGTCTCAATTGCTGCATCGGTGGTCATGTAGTCAGTTACCTGGATGAAGATTTTCTGCATTGCATCCTTGCTAACTGACATCAAAGCTCACCTAACGTTTAAGAAGCTCTCCCATTATCCAAGTTGCGAGAATCATTGCTCATTAGGGACTGCGTGATGGTCTTCATTACCTCTTTGGGATCAATTTGCTTCTTATCATCCCTTCTCTAAGCGATATAAGGCGCGGTGATGCCATTATGTTGGAACAAAAAGGATATAGAGAAATTCTGAAAGTTTGGTGACGAGAGAACACAAATATATAGAATGAAGAGAATAATATTTAAAATGCCTTGCGTAAACTTACAACTTGTAGAACACACACTAAAAGTCCCTCTCTTACAAGTTTTTCTCTCAAGCTTAACTCTGTTTCTCTATATATTACGACTCTACCAAGTGAACATATATATAAAAGACTCCACGCCAAGTGAAGTCGGCAAAAAACTGTTCCAACTAATGCAAGCTGTCCTCTTTGCCATTAATGTTGGAGTCGGTGAAGAGAAGTAGGAGTTCCACGTGTGGCTTCTATGGCTTCTTGAAGTCTTCAAGATACCAGCTGGACGTCTTCTTGTCAAACTTAAATACCTCTGCTCCTCGTGGAAATACAACCGACTTCAACACTGAAGCAATTCCCATGTTCTAGTTTTTGAGAATTATGCCAAAAACAATTTTAATATTTCTAACACATTATACATTAACTTCAATTCAAACAAAGCTCATTCAAATACATGCGACACACTTCACGACCTTGCACGAACATTGTGTGAACCTTGCACGAACCCTTCTCATATATATCTTTTCTCCAATGCCTAATCGAGTAATGTTGAAACTAATCCTTTATTGTATTATTCTCCTTTGATGTGTAAATGTGAAATGTTCTTGACAAGAATGGTTTAAGTAGGGAAAAAGTACCAAAAAAGTCCTAAACCTTTTGCATTTGTGCCAATTTAGTCCTAAACCTTTTTTTGGTGTTAATTCAGTCCTAAACCTTTTGCATTAGTGCCAATTTAGTCTTAAACTTTTTTTTGTGCCAATCCAGTCCTAAACCTTTTGTATTGGTGCCAATTTAGTCTTAAACCTTTTGTCTTTGTGCCAATTCAGTCCTTCCACCAATTTTGGCCGGATTTTGCTGACGCGGATGCCGGCCGGTCACCGACGCTGACGTGGACAACTTTAATAATATTTTAATATTTATTTATTTTTTCTTTTTTTTTCTCTCCCCTCCCTCCTTCTTCAGTAGGTCCCTAGTCCAAAGAACAGGCCAGAGTGTTAGAGACCCGAGAGGCCGGCGGGCGGCCATGAGGCTTGCCCTTGCTAGCCACTGGCGAGGTCGACCTTGCCAGCCATTGGCGAGGCTTGCCCTCACCGGTAGCGGCGAAGGCGAGCCTTGCCTAGCCGTCAGCAAGGCTCGAGCCCTCTCCAGCGACCTTCGATGAGGGCTCGAGCCTCGCCATGGCTAGGCGAGGCCCGACCTCGCCGGCGGCTGGGCGAGGCACGACCTCGCCAGATCGGCGAGGCCGCCCTTGCCAGTGGCCGGCGAGGGTGAGCCTCGCCCGTGGCGAGGCGAGTTCGACCTTCCATAAAGCCGGCCTTTGGCCTTTTTTTTTTGTTCTAAGCACTTTAGGTCGGTTTTGGCCGAACCTTTTTTCCCATAGGAAGGAGGGAGAGGGGGAAAAAAAAGAAAAAATAAATAAAAATTCAAAAAAATATTAAAATATTATTAATTTTGTCCATGTCCATGGCGTATGTCGACGGCGTGGTGGCCACAAACGGCACGAAGATTAAGATTTTAGTGGGACGGCGTTCACGTTAAAATCAAAATATGCTTTAAATCAAAATGTCACATGGATTTAATGGAATAATTAAGTTGGAAACAAAAACAAAAGGTTTAGGAATGAATTGGCACAAATATAAAAAGTTTAGGACTGAATTGGCACCATAAAAAAAGATTTAGGACTGAATTGACACCAAAAAAAGGTTTAAGACTGAATTGGTATTAATGCAAAAGGTTTAAGACTTCTTTTGCGCTTTTCCCGTTTAAGTAGGTTTTATTTTTTCTCACGCTATTTCCACCCTTCAAATAGCTTCCCACACATCCTAAAGTTTAAATGGTCCAAAATAACCCTCACTTGGAGTTCATTAATGGTAAGATTGATTAAAGAGAAAAACGTTGATCAATCAATATGATTATTTTAATATGTTAGTGCCAGCACGCCTCACGTCCCTAATTCTCCTTGTATGTTTATCTTTTCTAGGGAGAGGGAATAATCTCTAGATTCTCTACATCCCGAAGATCCCAAGATCCGAACGAGACCCTAAATGAAACCTTTTAAGAACTTTACTTAGGTCCATTGCTTTTGTGTCCATCTTGAGATAAAAAGAAAAAAATCGTGTCTTGCTAATCACGGGCCAGATTGCCAACTTAGCTCAGCCCACAATCCGAGGCAAAATTGGTGGCTTGGGCTATAGATTACTTGGTCACATCCGTCCTCCTCCATGTCCGTTTTCGTAAATTCGAGTCCTCCCCTCACCTTCTCCAAAAAGTCACGCTTCATCTTGCTTTTCCCTCCCCGACTTTAAACTCCCTCCCTCTCTGGCGACTGGGAAAGCGAAGACAATCGCATCGGAGGCACTACACCGGCGAGCTCATCGAGCAGATCGATCGAGGAGCACGAACCTCGAGCGCACCTCCGCGCGCGGCGATGCTGAGGCTGTTCAACAGGGGCAGGGACGCCCCCTCCGACGCCTCGCCGGCCTACTCGCCTCCTTCCCCGTCGCCCTCGCCGGCGTCGGTCACCGGGCCCGCGCGGCCGATCCGCCTCGTCTATTGCGACGAGAAGGGGAGGTTCCGGATGGATCCGGAGGCCGTGGCGGTGCTGCAGCTGGTGAAGGAGCCGATTGGCGTCGTCTCCGTCTGCGGCCGTGCTCGGCAGGGAAAGAGCTTTATCTTGAACCAGGTGAGCTTTTCTTCAATGCGCCGATTTTTGGCGGTGGATGTGGATTTTATGAGTATTTGGCGGATTGCTAGGGTTTGAGCTCTCTGGCGGATTCGAAGTGCTCGAGTTTCTGATTGTAGTTCTAGAGCGATGAGGGCTGACTTTGCTAGTTTTTGTTTTAACTCCATTCTGCTGATTTCTGAAGTAACTCCCGTGTTCTGGCGCTTGGTGTGCGAAATCCGGAACTAATTGAGTTAGGACTCGTGTTGTACTTTTGGGAAGACGAGTTCTGGTGAGCATTTGCGTTGCTCAAGTGTGAAGTAAAACACTGTTTTTTAGGCTAGGTGAAGGCTACGATGTGTAAATTCTGGGTAAATTTGGCCTGAAATGGATATAATATGCCTGAGTGTTATGTTTTTGCAATTCTAGCTGTGCGCGAGCTGCCTTTAGTGGCTGGATGAGCAGGCTTTGCTGTTTATCTCTATGTTGGATAGTGATTTTATGGTTCAGGCGCTAGGTTTTTGTAATCTGAGTTGTGTGAGCTTAGGCCACAAATTTTTTTTTGTCTGACAAATTTAGGCCTCATTTAAATAGTGGTTTGCGTGTTTTCGGAATCGGAGTTCTGGCAAGGATCTAATGTTGGTTTTATGGTCAGTTTTCGTTGACTCAACTAGCGATTTGTAGCAATCCGAGAGTGTGTTTTTAGTAGTCTTCATTTGTGGCCAGTTGGGGTTTAGTTGTCTTCGTTTGTGGCGAGTGCCATATACAGGCATGTGGTAATAGCCTTCGTCAGTTTCCATCCAAGGTATGTTAAAAGTGGGCCATTGCTGTCTTATCTATTTAGCAAAATCCTCCTTCCTTTAAATTTATGAATATTCATGGCAAGGTGAGAGCAGAGTCATTTATGGAAATATTAAGACGTAAACAGTTCTGGAGAATGGTGGAAAATTTCATGGTACGGAATGCTCTACTAATTATATCATTGATGATCGGAGCATGGTTGAAGGCTGTCGTGAGGTGGAAAGTCTCCTTTCTTTAAATTTTTGAATTGTCACGGCAAGGTGAGAGCAGAATCATTTACCGAGACATTAAGACATAACCAGTTCTGGAGAATGAGGAAAAGTTTCCCAGTACATAATGCAATACTAATTGTATCATTGACGATCGGAGCATGGTTGAAGGTTTTCGTAAGGTTGAAGGTCTTGATGATGCAAATGACAGTAGAAATGAAGAAAGAAGACAAACTTCGTTCCCAACAGCATGTTAAAAAATTTAGAGTGTCACACAGAAGATTTCCTACCTACTATAGATATTCCTTGTATGAACCTCGAAATAACCTTAAGATGGCACCTTGCTATTGGGAAATCTCTTATTTTTTGGGAGATGGAAGTTTTTCCAATTGTAGTGCATTTGACATGTAGAAATTGCATGCCTATAACAAACGATTGAATACAAATGCCAGGATTTGATATGGTGAGGAGATACTGAAAAAGTCATATTGTGGACAATATTGCATAAACAAATGGAGTTATGTGCAATACGATTAAGATAGAAGATCTTAATAGAAAAACTAAGCACAATAAGGAAATCTCCTCTCTTTGGCAGCCAAACGTAGTGTAGGGAAAATAAACAAATCAGTCATCTCCTAGATCATGTTTAAATCTCATTTTTCCCTAATCTTCTTATTAGTGTATTAGTTCTTCGATTGCCATGATTTCTGCTTTGGTTTTAGTTGTACAAGTCTCTGTTGGGTCTGGTCAGGTCATCCAGTAAGATGTCAAGGTGCTATGATATTTATTATGATGTTTATTTTGTACAGTAGCTTCTTGGAAAGAGTAGTGGATTTCAAGTAGCATCAACCCACCGGCCATGCACTAAAGGGCTTTGGTTGTGGAGTGCACCGTTGAAGAGAAGAGCTCTTGATGGAACGGAGTACAATCTCTTACTTTTGGACAGTGAAGGGATTGATGCTTATGATCAAACGGTATGCCAAGTTAAATGAACCGAGTATTCCTTGTTGATCATTGATTTGATTGTTGTAATATGATGACATATTGTCCCATTAAGCATATTTTTTCCGAACAATAATTCTTATGGTTGTCGTTGCTTTCTTTTTTTATGTGAAGGGAACATACAGCACCCAGATATTTTCTTTGGCCGTCCTCTTGTCTAGCATGTTCATCTACAACCAGGTTGGTCCAAGTCTTGCAAAGTTATAGTGATGTTTCTTTCAAGTCCTAGATGTTTAAGATTTGTTGTATTAGTTGTAGTTATAGGTTACTGATCACGTCTTAAACTTTTTTCCTTTCTCTCAGCTTTGTTGCTACTTTGCTGAAGTTTCTAAGATACTTCACACTTCAGTTTTATATCTTCTTGCTATTCATTTTGCTTGTGTATAACTCTTATTCAGATGGGGGGGATTGATGAAGCTGCACTGGATCGGCTTTCTCTTGTCACTCAGATGACTAAGCACATTCGTGTGAGAGCGTCTGGGGGGAAGAGTAGTGCTTCTGAGTTGGGACAGTTCTCCCCTATCTTTATTTGGCTTCTGAGAGTAATTTCCCCAAACTTTTCTGCTTCTTTTACTCTGGAAACTGTGATTGTAAATTTAGACTGGCGATTGTTTGGGTACTGAAACTATTGTTTTTGTTGCTACGTAGGACTTCTACTTGGATTTAGTGGAAGATAATAGGAGAATAACACCACGTGACTACCTGGAACTTGCTTTGAGGCCCGTTCAAGGTACTGGAAGAGATATAGGTGCCAAAAATGAGGTACTATCTGCTTTTTTGTTTTTCCCCTTTTAGTGTGGGATTTGTGAATAGGAGCTCCCATAAACATTTTCTCTGACCTTATTTAAGCCTGGTTTATGCGAGGCAAATATACATCTATGATAGTGGCATGTTTCCACATACAATTGTGTTTGTGTCATTGTAATTATAAGTACTACTTGAACTTGTTTGGTTGCAACTAATTGTGTGCTGTTATAATTTTAGGTGGTCAAACAGGTATTGGACCCCACCCCAAACCCCCCTCCCCCCCCCACAAAAAAAAAAAAAAAAAGTACTGGGAGTAGATGATCGTTATATAAAAATTTTCTTCATATTTATTTGAAGTTAGACCACTTGCTTAAGAGGTGATTCATTATAATGGTAGGGCTAAAAGCTCCTTTTGTCAAGTCCTAGTGTTAAAGGAACTTAACGTGATGCTTCGGTGCGTTATCGGTTTCTTCTTTGCCTGTTCCTGCTTGTGTCTATGCATACATCTTTTCAGTGTTTCTTTATGTTGTCAGAGGTTGTAATCTTTTAAACAAATGCTTTCCAGATTCGGGACTCTATTCGAGCTCTATTTCCAGATAGAGAATGTTTCACCCTTGTGCGGCCTTTGAATAATGAGAATGATCTCCAGCGGCTTGATCAAATATCAGTGAGTATCTTGTCATTGTTAGATGTGCTTTTATCTACTTCAGCACATATTTTTCACTCTGTAGTTCTTTTATCATGGTTTGTATGTGATGTTGGATACAGATGGATAAACTGAGGCCTGAGTTTAAGTCTGGGTTGGAGGCCTTGACAAAGTTTGTTTTTGAGAGAACAAGGCCCAAGCAAGTCGGGGCCACTGTCTTGACTGGCCCTGTTCTAGTAGGTATCACAGAGTCTTACTTAGAGGCCTTGAATAATGGCGCAGTGCCTACAATATCATCTTCATGGCAGGTTGGTAATATCTTGAATTTCTTTATGTTTCCAATCTAAAACTTGGGTGGTCTCCCAAATTGCGTTGGATCTGAGTAGGTGTGATAATTTTCTCCAACAATTGGTACACCAATCTTGAGAAGTGTTAAAAGAAACACCTAGTGACTTTAGTGGTGTTTGCAACTTATACATCTTGTCTGCCATGTTTAGTCATGATACAGAGCCCTTCGGAATCCCCTCGTGCCCTATTGTTTTTCTGTTTTCTTTTTATTTTTCCTGGGCTGGTTGAGGCTCAGGTTTTTGTCTCAAGTTGACTCATGACTAAATGGGTGTTTGCAATGAAGGGCTCGTTTGATAACATTAAAAAATGAGTGCAAAAAATTTAATTTCTGAATATTAAGTGCTAAAGTCTTTCGAGTACTGAAAATAAAAGTAAAAAGTTGTTTGATAATAGAAAATAAATTTTATTAATATTTTACCAAACATGGAATAGTGAGCATTATTGGAAGGTTTTGGTTATATGATTGGGTAAAGTTTTAATTTCCATGGAATATTTTATCACTTAACCAATTAAGTAGGGCCTTCCTTACTGCATTAAGGGATTTTTACACAAAACGATATTTGTGTAGTTAAATGTGATCAAACGCACTTAATGGCATTAAGCATTGGAAAGTTTAATTCTCAGTGATTTAATTTGGTTATCAAAACACACCCTAAGAGAGAAAATCCTTTATTTTTTGGTGCATATTTTTTTTCATCCACACAATATAGAAAAGGCAAAATTAGTCAGCTAATTAACAAGCCTGGTTATAACTTTTTACAAATTAAAACTAAGGTAATAAAGATGAACATTTGATTAATTTTGGGCAATACGATGCATTTTATTGACTAAAATAGTTTTGGTGCCTGACAAATAGATTGTTTGATATGTTCACTACCTTACACTGTATACTTTGTGTCACTAAAAATAGAATACTTTTTCATGAGCTTCTATTAAAGATTGAGTTGTTTCATATTAATGAGCTAAGGAACTTCTCCACTTTGTTTTGATGTCAGAATCTTTTTCATCTTGCAAATTGACATGTCTGTCCTAAATCTGTGTTTTTCTGTTTATTTGTATAATGCATTCAGATAAATTTAAAATGGTTTTATCATCTTTTGATAAGAATTATTTATTAGCAGGGCAAAGCTAAAGAACTGTGTGGTGCTGATCATCACTTGTCATTGCTATCTATTGAAATGTGCAGTAGTTATGTTTTCATTCTTATTTTACCTCTTACTTTTGCAAGAGTGTCGAAGAAGCTGAGTGTCGTAGAGCTTATGATTTAGCTACTGAGGTCTACATGTCTACTTTTGACCGATCTAAGCCACCAGTGGAAGTAAGCAACACTTTGCCAGAGAAATGAATGCTCTATTATTTCTATATTTTCCTAATTTCAGTTAATGTAGGTTGGCATGAGGGAGGCACATGAGGAAGCAGTACAAAAGTCATTAGCTGCATTCAATGCAAGTGCTGTTGGTGTTGGTTCAGCAAGGAAGAAACATGAGGAGCTTCTCCATAAGTTCTTCAGAATGGCTTTTGAGGTGGTGTCTTTACAAAATGCTAACCATTTTTCTGCTGCAATGAAGTGGAATCTGTAGTGCTATTTTATCATGGGTGGCTCCCAGTAATTTGACACTGTGATGGTTATTACATTGGTAAAATTAAGTCTCTATGGACTCTGTTTACTCTTTTCCTTTGTGCTTGTGATTAGGTGGTTGCAATGGGTTTGACATTGACACTGTTGGTTTTTTTTTGGGTCAACACTTATTTGATTTGCTCCCTTTGATGTGCATTGTCGTGTCAGATTATGGACATCCATATTCCACGATACATTTTTTCTCACATTATGGGACAATTGGTCTAAAAATTGATCTATGGTGCAGAAAGTGCATAAACTGAGTGGCCAACATATTTGAAAATCTTGTTTAGCAGGATTTTGAAAAACTTAGTATCAAGTTCTGGAATAGGGAGTTTGATGCGGTTAAAAGATGACGCTGGCATTGGTAGATAAGGTTTAATTGTAATATCCTTTTCATAAAAAAGCTGTGGTGTGTTGACTAATTGTGGTTGATGAAGATGGTCTGTTTTTGTTAGGTTATTTTGATTTCTCTGTATTCGGACCGATAACTTAAGCAATGCTCTCTTGACTAAATTGGTCCATGCAGGATTACAAGAGGAATGCATTTATGGAGGCAGACTTGCAGTGTTCAAATGCTATACATAGCATGGAAAAGAGGCTGAGAGCAGCTTGTAATACACCTGATGCTAATATTGATAATGTTGTTAAGGTTAGTAGTCATGTTTGATGCTACCTACAAAGGATATTCCTTTTTCTCTTTTTCCCTCTTTTCTCGGTATACCTTATATTATGAGCTTGAATACGTTGTTTTGTTTGTTTATGAAACTTGGATATTGTGAACTCATTTTGCATTGATGTCTCGTTAGATCAAATTGCTTCTAACAATCAGAGCGTGTCTTATGTTTGTAGCATTTGGGCTGTGTTTCAATAATGCAGATTTGACTGAAAAATAATCTTTTAGAATGTTGATGATGGTGAATTGTGAGGCGGCCATCATTGGTGTGGGGTCTGATTAGTGTCTAGTAGATTTAGATGTGTTGAAAGGGTAGAAGAGATGAGGGCATTTGGGAAAGTTTCCATGCTTGTACCAAATGCAAACGAGGTCCAGTTCCAAATGTTGTGATGTATTGACCACTAGGGCCATGGACATGGAGTGCAGTATATCAAAGATGATTCTCTATCTAATGCTAAAGTTGGTAGACTATTTATTGGTTGATCAATCTCATAAAAACATGCTGAGCTTTTATTTAAATACGAGTACCTTTCAAGTTAACTGTTGCAAGCAAGTATAGTGATGCTTAAAGATGGGATTCTCCTCTTTGCAAAGCATTTAGTTTGGATCAAGTAAAATAAGAGTACAAAAGGCCACTTTGTATTCTATTGCACAGATCTTTGGTTCTACAATGTCTTAGCTCTTAGAGTTACCCATTTCAGATCAAAGACTCTATAATGCCAGATGATTGGATCATTGTTTCACTCTTTGAATAGACATTGCTTGGGATTACTAAGTGCAAAATTTTGGGACCACTGCCAACAGTTGTAAAAGGTTTTATCTGATGAAGGTGCAGTTTGATATTTGAATGGTTTAACACTCCCCTCATGTAAAGACTGGTCTTTGGCTTAAGACTAAAGCGTGGAAATTATAAATGGGGAGGCAAATAAGGAGTCTACAAAGATTTGAACTCATGACGTCCTCCTTTAGTACTATGTAAAATTATGTGGAATCATTTCCAATTGTTGTAAAAATTTAAGCTATTAGATGGAGGTGCAGTTAACATATGTTTACCACAAAGTAATCTTGCTTGATAAACATCCTCACTTCTATCCTAAAGTTCTATTGCATAGCTTTTATTGAGAAAATAACAAATCAAGCCCGTCATATGTCGAAATTTGAGGTCTAAAAATAAATGCCACTATTATTTATGCTTGTTGTGCCCATCGTATATTTTGGAAAAGCATGGATTTTTATGTCATTTTGGGCATCATCTTCAGTGTGCTCTATTGATATTTTGCAGGTTCTTGATGCTCTTTTGTCAGAATATGAAGCATCATCTCATGGTCCATCGAAATGGCAAAAGCTTGCAGAGTTCTTGCAACAAAGGTTTTCCCTTTCTTTCAACATTTTCTTCCCATTTCCCGAGCTAGTTATCTTCATCTCTATCCCTGACTTACTGTGTTCAAACTACCAAGCTTGGAAGGCCCAATACTCGACCTTGCCAAAAGGCTAATTGATCGGGTTGGATCTGAGAGGAGTTCCTTCATGTTGAAATGTCGGGCCATTGAAGATCAGGTGGGGTTGCTTAATAAGCAACTGGAAGCCAGTGAGAATTATAAATCTCAGTATCTGAAGCAATATAAAGATGCTATCAGTGACAAGAACAAGCTTTCTGATGATTATTCAAGCCGTATAACTAAATTACAGAGTACTTGTAGTTTACTTGAAGAGAGGTCTTCTAGCTTGCTGAAAACATTAGAGTCTACAAAGCAAGAATCTCTGAACTGGAAAAGGAAATACGAGCAAGTGTTGTCTAAACAGAAAACTGAGGAAGACCAGTCTAGTTCTGAAATTGCTATCCTTAAGTCCCGGAGCAGTGCTGCTGAGGCAAGACTAGCTGCTGCTAAGGAACAAGCTCAGTCTGCACAAGAGGAGGCAGAGGAGTGGAAAAGGAAGTATGATATTGCTGCTAGAGAAGCAAAAGCAGCCTTGGAGAAGGCAGCAATTGCACAAGAGCGCACAAATAAGGATACACAAAAGAGGGAAGATGCTCTAAGGGCGGAATTTTCCATTGAATTGGCTGCAAAGGTCTCTCTCTCCCACACACGCACACACATTTGTGTTGGTGCGAACACATGTAGCTTTCTTCGTGTTCCTTGTACCCTATTATTGTGGAATCGATCTGTTTACCATTTCTCAATGATTATGCAGGAGGAAGAAGTGAAAGAGAAGGTGGCGAAAATCGAGTATGCTGAGCAGTGCTTGATCACCATAAAGTCAGAGCTGAAGGTAAGCTCTTATCATTTTGATCTAGGAGTGTTGAAAAATGAAGGCGATGATTTTACTGCTGAAGTTTCAGGGTTTAGCACATATTTTAATAAACACATATGGGAAAGCAACCTGTTAATCTGAATTTTCCATTCTGATAACTTCTTTATTTTTCCATCAGTCCTGGTCTGTGGGATAATATCTCCTGTTCATCTTTTTGCACTTTCTTGTGCTTGATGATTAATATGCTTTCCAGGCTGCTGAGTCAAAAATAGAGAATTATGCTGTGGAGATTATGTCCCTGAAGAACGAAATCAGCGCGTTGAGTGAGAAATTTGAAACTGCAAATGCTAAAGCCCAATCTTTTGAAAGAGAAGCTAGGATTGTGGAGCAGGAGAAGATCCATATTGAACAGAAGTACTTATCTGAGTTCAAAAGATTTGAGGAAGTTCAGGAACGGTGCAGAAATGCTGAAAAAGAAGCTCAAAGATCTACTGAAATGGCTGACAAAGCACGAGCAGATGCAGTCACTGCCCAAAAGGAAAAGAACGATATCCAAAGGCTGGCAATGGAGAGACTGGTCCAGATTGAGAGAGCTGAGAGGCTTATTGAGAGTTTGGGGAGAGATAAAATTGCATTAGAAGATCAACTTAAGGAAGCACGTATATCAGAGACAGAGGTCCTCTCAAAAGTCACTTTATTAGAGGCGAGAGTGGAGGAAAGGGAGAAAGAAATCGAGTCCTTGTTGGATTCAAATAATGAGCAAAGGGCTAGTACGGTTAAGGTCCTGGAAAGTCTCCTCGACACTGAACGAAAGGCCCGTGCAGAAGCCAACAGTAGAGCAGAAGATCTCTCGGTCAAGCTACAATCTGCCCAGGCAAAAATTGATTCCCTCCAACAAAAGTTAACTACCGTTCTTATAAATGAAACTGCACTGGACAGCAAGCTCAAGACTGCTTCTCTCGGGAAACGGCTCAGAGCAGACTATGGTGAAATTGGCATGGAATCTGTTCAAGATATGGATATCGATAAGGCCTCCAGAAGAAATAAGAGGATGCGAAGCACGACCAGTCCCCTAAAGCACATTCAGCCAGAAGACGGTGGATCCGTGTACAGAGGCAATGAGGACAACCACAGCAACAAATCGTCGCAGGAGGATTATACCAAGTTCACCATGCTCAAACTGAGGCAAGAACTCACGAGTCACAATTTCGGTGCTGAGTTGCTCCAATTGAAGAATCCTAGCAAGAAGGACCTCCTTGCACTATACCAGAAGCTCGTCCTCCAGAAGTTGTGAACATTTTGTATGTACAGGGAAGTGCATATAACTTAAAAAAGGGTTTGAGTTGTAGATCATGTATGACATAGGGTGAGCTTTTTTCTTTCTGTAGATTCTTTGCCTGAAATTCTCTTTGGGATTAGTCCAAAATATTACCGTGAGCGAACTCCCTTTTACATGCAAGGCTAGCTATTGGCATTGGCTCTGCGCAAGTGTGTTGTCAGGCTTCTCCGTCAGTGTTGTTCTCTGGATAGTTATTTTTTATAGTTTCCATGGTGCCCTAAAGGAAGACTTAGTATTTGGTGTGCTTGGTTTTGTGACCTAGTGCTTCTTGTGTTCGTGTGCCTGTGCATTTTTTCAGTCTAATGACAAGTGTAACAAGTAATTGTAGGATGCAAAACTATTTTCTTGTTGCCGGTAAGGAAAGGAAGGACTACCTTTTGCTTTTCTTCGTGGAAGTGAGTGCTGCTGCTGGTCTGCATGTTCGGCTGTTCTCATACCCAGAATTGGATTGCGACCTGATCTGGGCTTGTTCATGTCATAAGCACGACCTATATCCAATAAAAAACGCCCCTGTTGTCTTGTTTGTCGAAGCGCTCAAGGTCCGTCTCTTGGTTCTCGCGTTGTTTGGTTTAAGCTTGGTAAAATGGTTTAAGCTTGGTAAAATATCAGAATTTGGTCTTTAAAATATAGCAATTCCACGAGATATGTCGAGCGAGGGGGATTCCAGTGACTTTTACGCTCATAGCTTGTCGATAGAGAATGATTTTTATCCCTACCCCCTAAAGCAAAACCTATCTAGATGGTATTTCCAATGATCTTGTTGGTGGATTCAGGCAGGTTTCGTTAGGAGCTATTCTTTTCCTTGGTTAGGAAGTTCGTCAGGAATAGCTGCCTTCTATTACAAACAGGAATTCAGAGTCAGAAATAGTCGTCAGAGGCCTTATTTGTAATTCTGAGTAGTTGTTAGTAGTTCCTAGGTTTTAATTGTTCAAATGATCCTAGATTAACAGTATTTTGTAATTTACTGTATTTCAAATGACCTGTTTATCAGTAACTATGCTTTCGACTTAAAAGTCACACCATTGTTCTTCGATTGTTAGTAAAACATGTAGGCATGATGCATAATTAACCGTTCCGTCAAGCAAACCTAACCAGGGAGCAACCAAATCAACTATTCCATCGTACAAACTTAGCTCAGTTGGTCAGTTCTCCTCCCGGGAATCTTGAGGTGAGGGTTTTGACCTTTGCCCTTGCGAAGGATGGGAGCCGTGTTACGATAATAGGTCAGATGGCCCATATAAATCCTAATAGGACGTATAGGGATAGCGGGTTTGGGGTCATTTCCTGTAAACCTTACAAGGTTTTGGAAGGGTTTGGGAATTTATAGGAAACCCAATACCCAAACCCGATATACTTGACTATCAAAATGCTCTGTTTATGTTAGTATGCACGTGTGGGTTGCATTAAAGAAAATCCCACGTCGAAGAATTATTTTGGTATAGTACAATTAATATATCCTCGTTGGCTCATAACTTATTGACTTAAGTTTTTGAGTAAAGGTGTGATATTAATTGGCTCGGACTTAGGTTCCTCTTGGTTTGTTTTGAAGTTTGGTAGATGGTCATTGGGCAAAATTTCCGGTGGGCATTTTGAAATAGCTTCATTATTTTCTTTTATAGCTAGGAAGGCATTACGCACCAACAAAACTCAAAAGAGAACAAAATATGTAAGACTTCTCAGTTAAAGTTTTGTTTATCTGGTAGTTAGGAAGGCAACTCCGGACTTCTTGCGCAAGGGAAGGGCATTTCTTGCTGAGCAATTCATGAGAGATATAGACCGTTTACTTAGTCAAACGTCTCTTTCAACAAAGAATGCAATCTGACCAAATCAGCAAAGTGAGAGAGATCATAGAATAATATAGTCTTCTTAATTTTCTAGCAAAAAATTTCACATGGCATGCTAACGTAGGAATGGGTTTAACTGTCTGGCATAGATTAACTTTTACTCTTTGATATTTTCGCAAAAATCAAAATCTTGCAACGTAAGCAATGTGATTTCCTTTAAAACCCGAAATACTTGAGACTTTCACGAATGTAACTACAGGCATGCTCTGACCAAAAAAAGAAAGTACAGGCATGCAGAATCATATATAAATTTGTTCATAATATTTTGAAATATGAATAATACTTTCAATATTGACGGAAAAGGCCCGAAATCTTCCTTGCCTTGGTTTTGATTCTTTGAACACTCAAAAAGTTACTTAACTTCCTGCAAAGGAGCTAAAATTTCCCTCATTACTCTCTTTTTTTTTTCTTCAATCCCAATCAAACAACTAATCACTGTCATTGCGAAGCTAGACGATAACTAACACTCCCAAACTAATAATGCTAGGGTTTTTGCTGCCACACATAAGAAAAACTATCACCCCCAATTCACCTATTGATATTTTACAAGCTTTCCCTCGCTCGAATCTTCCAATAGCGGGACCAAAGAAGCCGCCTCGCCTTGATCGACGAAGTTAGGAATAATCAGCTGGTCGTAAGACTCACTACAAGATGGGTTACTATAATACTCGATCACATTAATAGAGCTCCCAGGTACATGGACATTCTCATGCAAGCTTTGAGCACTCATCGGTGTTGTGTCCTTTGGCCCTTGGAGGGTCGTCGAACTAGGTTGTCTAGGCTGCGTTTGGTAGAACACCTTGGACACGACCAGCTCTCCATCTCTCTCCTCTTCGTTTTTGCCGAGGTGGTATTGGTGCATCACCCAGTTGGTCTTCTCAGGCTTCCTTTGCCTCCCATAATTGATGTAGAGCACAAGTATCTTCTTGAACCCTTTCACGGCTCCGCCGAAGAGGACCGGCCTCGTCTTGCCCGTCTTGTGCCACCTTGTTTCACTCTCATCCATGTTCTTCTGCACTCTACGCCGTTTCCTAGTCCCGGTAGCATATGCCTTCGAAGGCCGATGGAAGAAGTGGCGGATTTGTCCGTCTTTGCTTACTCCTGCGTGATGTGCATAGAAGACACTCAAATGAGATTTGTAGAAAATAAAAATCAAGTGTCATATACCCGATTAGCTCATGTAATTAATAAAGATGATATAAGTTGGGATTGTATTTCCTACTATTCAACATTCTGTATAAACTTAAGCTTCCGAACTTATTGATCGGTTGGCTATTCCATTTCAATATAAACCACAGATTGTTTCACCCTTCTGCGGATATTTGCAGTGCTCGTTTTAGTTGTTGCATCCACATATGGAGAAAACTTGAATTTTGAGCTCCTCGTTGTAAGAAAATAGAACTTATCGTGCAACATTTGCACGTAGAGTCCACAGTGTTTGGCATGACATGACATAACTCGACTATCAACATGAGCATGAGAACATCCGAAGAGCAATTGATTATATAGAAGGTGAATATCTAAAGCTGAAATTCGAAATGTATCTTCCCCATAAATTTGTTATACGTAGTTTCCTAACCAAAACTGATTTCTCAATGCAATCGATACGAATTAGAAGCACTTAATTGGGAGATGCTAAAGAAATTAAGCTAGCTTTTATTTACATTGCATAACAAGTTGACGCAGATGAAATGCAGAAGAGTTTCTTGAGCGATCTGATAAGCACTGGAGATGAGCTTAGATTTAGAATTCACATTGTCGAGCCAATGAGCAACAACTTTAGATCTGAGGGGAGTTAGGAGACCCGTGATATCAAATTCGAAAAGCTCCTTCAAAGTCCTACTCGATGCATTTCTAAGTTGGGTAACTTATTTGAGACTGTTTACAGTCTCAAAATAATCCGCAGCAATCTATTTTAGACTTGTTTTCACATGATTTTGGCCCATTTTTCATTTGCTTATTTTTTTGGGAAACGACACAAATAGTTCCTGAATTTTGGCTCAATGTGTAATGTGATCGTTGAATTTTTAATTTATTCAATGTGGTCCCTGAATTTTAGCCCAGTGTACAATGTGATCCCTGAACTTTTAATTTATTCAATGTAGTCCTTGAACTTTTAATACAGGTTCAAGTTAGTCCCTGGATTGTATGAAAATATTCAACGTTGTCCCTAATCTTGAATTAATGGAAGGACTTCATTGAACATTTTCATATAGTTCAAGAACTACATTGAACAAGTACCAAAAGTCTAAAGACTACATTGAACAATTTAAAAGTTCAGGGGCCATATTGAACATTAGGCTTCAGGGACCACATTGAACAAATTAAAAGTTGAGAGACCATATTGCACATTAGGCCAAAGTCCATGGACCATTTGTATCATTATCCCTATTTTTTTCGTTTTAAATATTTCGATTATGCTTGATTTCTGAATTAAGTAGGATTTCAAGGGCGTATTCACCTGGCTCTAGTTTGTAAAGACATGCTTCTTTTTCTGAACATAATATTGTTGATAGTTTAGCAAGTTGCGCTTTGCTTTGAGTATGTTGTGCCTCTATGCATGTGGGCGAGTCCTTTCAATGTTTTTACACAGCATCCAGTAAGTCAGAAGGGATTTCTTTTTGGTATACTTGTCAAGTCTGGTTTACACGAACTGTCTTGCTATGAATATCATTATGTATGATCACATTATCTATTTTGAAAGCATACAAACATTCAAATTCATACATGACATGCATTCAAGACAGTTTTGTAAATTAAAGTTACACGGTCTTGAAAGATTATCAAAGATTAAAGTCACTCCTATGATCACACAACCAGAAGTTTAATATCTGCATCTACAAGACTTCCGCATGAAAGACTCGAAGATGTTCAATTTGATGTTTTATTTTAAACTAATTTGTTGAGGAATAAGACTCTCTAACAAGAAAGGTGATCTGGGATTGAGCAGTATGCATGGCAATCTTGAAAGCGCTCATTAAAAAGAAATCACACCCATATAATTACAGAGACTTTTGTTCTGTGAAAGGTTTACCTAAAAATTGATGGCACATGAAAAGCACTGCCCCTATCATGAAGAGAGGATAATAATTTGACTAATTTCCAACTAAGAGAGAGGAGACACATTGATGTTCCAATCAATAAAAGCCAATCGATAAAAGACCATAATATATGCAACAATATCTTGAAAGTGCAACAACTTCTTCATTAGTATACAATTCCCTGACCAAAGATGTCCACTTTACCCTAGAACAAGCTCGAACATCATCATATGAACTCCCAACAGATAAACATTTTCCAGTATATCCAGGAACTATGCGAACACAATCCTAAACCGCCAAATCTGAAACCAGAAGTTGTATACGTTTTGTAGACAATTCGGGTATTTGATTATCTAAGATGTTGGTCTACTGAAGAAGATTATACTTACTTGAATCAAATGGTATTAAAGGCACGATTTCCTTTATGTGTGCCTTGATTATGTGTCGATATAGTGCGCATTTGCATTTATGTCCGAAGATATCTAGCTTAATAGGTGTTAAAACCTCTTAGACTTGCATACGAAAAAGAATTTGGGTCGAAAAGAAATGCATCTCTTCCTCTAGATTAAAGCTTAGTCGGAGGAATTACTCCCATTACACAGCCCAAATATCCAAAAAGGCCAAAAAAATGAAAAACCAAAGGAAATTTTTCTTTCTAAAAAGGGTAATTTTCATTTTTATAAAGAGATTGATAACATTTAGGGTAACACATTAACTATCATGAAATCATTCAAAGGGCAATGTTATTCCAGAATTACCTGGAAGTCTCTCTGGGTGTGTACAACAAATACCATCATCTCCTTCCAATGTGGGAATGAACTGATCAATGAGAAAATGAATCTTCCTCGCATCCCCCATTACCTTCGCTTCCAAATGCTCCAAGATTTCTTGGTCAGTCGGATCAAACTTCACTCCCGCTGGTAGTCCCACCAAATCATGAACAATCCCCCTCTACACAATAATCATTTAGTTTTGGCCAAAAGAAAGACAATAATCATTTCATAATTACACTTGCTAATCCTTTACATCCTTCAATAACAAGAAAAGATATAACCCTTAAAAGGAAACCAAACATACAAAACAAAACCAGAAAAAAAAAAGAGAGTAAGTGATGAATACCTGATCAAATAATGGGAAGCTGTGGCCACATGAAGGGCATGCTATGGTGGGAAGAAGAGTGTTGTCATCGTCCTCATCCTCATCTCTAGGGTTATAAGTTGGTGGGATTATGGCGGCTCTTGCATCTTCCGTTTGCCACATCATTTCTTTTCTGTTCTTCTTTGGCTCTCTTGCGCATCCCACGCCAAGATTTCATCTATATTCTTAGGCTCCAAACTCAGGTTACTGCATACTTCTAGAGACTATCCACAGAGAGAGAGAGAGAGAGAGAGAGAGAGAGAGAGAGAGAAAGAGAGTTTTTTATGAGGAGGGAGGTGTGGGAGAAAGAAGGGGATGATATTAATAGGAACATCAATATGTGAAAACAATAATTGCTTGGACATCAAGTTCGGTTCGGATTAAGTATATGCGCGTACTGCAGACTTCAATCTTGTCCCTTGATTAGGGTTTATTTTAATTATGAACGTGGACCCTTTTTTTAAAACTTTTTGTTGACTGGTACGAGCTTTAGATAAAAAGAAGAAAGTTATCTTTTTGACCAAATGAGAAAAGCAAGAAAATTATCTATAAGACTCTATTTGTTTCGTGGAAAATGTGATAATTATGAAAAATGCTTTTTAGAAAGTTTCCAGGAAAATGATATTTTTCATTGTTTGACCGAAATCTGAAAATGAACTTAAATATTTTCTTCATCCTTTATATCTGATTAAGTTTTTTCCTAAATAGACATATACTATTCAAGTAATGCATGGGCTATGACAAAAAGAAAAACCATGTGCATGGGCAGCAGGAGAGTCAGGTACGAGCACCAAAGTCTTGGGTTCGCCATCGATGGACCTTGACCTGGGCACTGCGAATCGGGGCATGGGCACCTGAGTCCCGAGCCCGACCTTGATGGATCAGAGCACGAGCGCCGAGGTATCAGGCTCGGCCTTGATTGACTCGAGTGCTGGCGTCGGGGTTTCGGGCCTCGGCCTCGATAGACCCTAGTTTGGGCACTAGGGACCCAGCTCGAGCGTCAAGGACCGGGGCATGTCTTTTGTGGACCCGGGCCCGGGTGTTGGGGATCCTAACTCGGGTACTGGGATCTCGCATTCAACCTTACCCGGGCTTTGAGCTCAGCCTCGATGGACCCAGGTGCGGGTGCTAGGGGTCATGAGCTCGGCCTTGATGGACTTGGGCGCAAGCGTTGTGCACTAGGGTCATGGGCCCAACCTCGATGGACCTGGGCCTGGTGATGAAGGACGCCGGGAACCCGTGTTGGGGTCTTCGTGCCCAAGCGTAGAGTTTTAGATCTAAACGCCGATATTTAAAAAATAATTTCCGATTTTTTAAAGAATAAATAATTTTCCTAAATTTAAGTATTAGTTTTCTGTTGACTTGGAAAACATTTTCCATTGAATTATTTTCTTAAGTGAACCAAATGCCAGAAAATGAGGGGAATGTTTTCTGCGAAACAAACGGAGTCTCAGAGAGAGAGAGAGAGAGAGGATATAGTGGATGCAGAGTCTTAATCAAGAGTGGCCTTGAAGTTAAGTATAGATACATGAAACCTACGAACCAACGATAATGAATACGACTACGAGCGTCGCTTGGAACAACCAGCATGTTTGGATGGGCTTATTTTGATCCATAAGCCAAGCAATTCCATTTCGTGTCATTAAAAGTGATTGGTACATCAAATTTGGAAAACATTTGAGATGACTCTGAATGTTTTGTGCGGAGCTCGAGGATGCCGTCGACGGACACGCCGTGGACAGAGCTCGACATGCCAACAACTCGGGAGGTGGGGGGGGGGGGGGGGGGGGTCTCCAGTGGTACGGTGGAGACGATGTGGTGCAGCTAGAGCTGCAATGCCGGCATTGGTGGTCGGAGATAGCCAGCGGAGACGGAGTTTGGATTGACAAAACGGTATATAAAAAAAGGAGGACAGGTGTGTTTGAGTTTAGATAGTGGAGAGTGGGGCGAGTAATAGGAAATACACTGTACATGTAAAATGAATTTCCAAAATTATATAAGTGTCATTAAGGCTCGACCCTCTTGAATTTTATTTGCTATTGAACACAACGGATTCTCCAAATATTATAACATATTAAGGTCATATGCGATCATATCAACAAGGGTAATTAAGTAAATATATTAAATTTTGGCGGGAAAGCCAATAAATAACTCATTTGCATAGAAAAAGTAAGAACAAAAATAACCTTTTAATGTCAGCTACTCATCGACAACAAGAAGTCATCAATAAGCATCACAATCTCATCGGGCAAAGTGGGGAAATATGTTTCTCGCGTTTACATGCTCCATCCAAAACTTAAAAATCACGTTATGGTCGTTTACCCACCACAGAAAGATCTGATAAATTCCTCTCACGAAGCTCAATCTAGAATAATTACTTCATAGGTGAAATCATATGGTAATTAACTTTTGAGTAACGTATGCAACGCGTCTTCTTCTTTATAGCGGAAGAAAATGCACAAAGAATTGCGAGGTTATGCGCTCGTCGCTTCCAAGCAAGCAGTTGCAGAGGGCGAGAAATGAGGAGAAAATGAGACCGGCTGTCTGAATCACGTAGACCTTGGATCCGCCGACTTACTGCGTGTGGACACATGAAAGTCGGTCAGCAGCTTCTGGAGGAAGGCTCACCAGGAGAGAAGGCTTACGCATCAAGCTTGGCGAGGGCAACGACTTGCAACGTAAGAATTAGGGTTTTCTTCATTCTCGCCAGCTTTGTCTCCTTGTCCAAAGTTTCTTCAATGGGGTCCACCTGTCATCGGTGCGAGCGCAGGACAGATTCCACGAAATGACGACACACCGTTCGGGTAAGCATTTATACAAAACGTCGTGAATAGAATGATATTGAGCGACAAGCTTTTCTATTTAAGAATTGCCGAATGCACGAGGAGATATTATCATCACGCGTTGCTCTCCTACATATTTCGAACGACAAAAGGAGCATGTCGTTTTTCCAATAAGATGACACGTGTTGGGTTATACTCAAAATTTAGTGCAGAACACTATCTATTGAAAGTTTAAACAGTTGGAGAATGACAGGCGTTGTAATTTATATCTGAAATGCATAAGGAGAAACCCATAAGTGCATGAATGGATCATTTCTATGATAAAAAGGGAAATCCGCAAGTGAATGAATGGACTATCATAAATCAAAGTTGGAATCTCTTGATTCTATTTCAACTTGAAGTTTAATAAGAATATAATGTACTGAAACAGACTGTTCTAAAGATTGACAATAATTTCCCTACTAGGATCCAAAGTTCATTTTTTTCTCTTCTAAGCCAAAACTTAGCCGCTGGGTGATTGCCCATTTGACTGCAAAATAGGGGGTTTGTGAAGCTTCTTGGTCAATGGTCAAGGACGTCCCTAGGGATGGAAGGGGGCAGGTACATAACCGGGGATCCGATCACGCTAATGTCTGGTGAACGAGTTTTTGGTTTAGATTAGTGAAACGGGTTTGAGGTGAATTGCTAAAATCACCACAGCATTTGAGACTGGTTTGGTGTTTTATAATTGGGACACCTAATACTAGAACTCGATATGTATAAATAATGATAGTTTATAAAGACTGACGACAATCTGTAATGACTAAGAATAAAAAATCGTAAATTTGGATTTTTTTAACTACAATGTTTTACAAAGTTGTTGACACCTAAATTTTGGTGGATAGATGGTTATTGCCTTTTTTTTTTTTAAAAAAAAACTAGGGACCACATTCATCCACAAAGCTAGAATTCAACTTGTAACCAAAAATTGATTGTTTTTTCACCATCTTTCATTCTTATTTTAGTTCTCTGCATTTTGAAACTAGGAGCATCATGGTAAAAAATTTAGTGATAATGAATTTTATAAAAAAATACTGACAATGGTGTAATTCGAACCCTAACCAAAAGCACCCATCCCGCACGATTTTGCATTCATTTCATTGCATCTCGTGGTTAGAGACAAGGTAATTCTTAATACCTCGGACTCGACATCAGAAGATTTGGAATGACAAGACTCTCAAAACCCTAAAATCTCGAAGGAACCCCTAGCGCCACTTCGCACCACTAAATCCTGTCCCGTAGAATTGACCTTACATTTGCCATGAAATCAGACCAAACAAAGGTCAAAATTGGGTTGGATCGAAAGGAAGTAGTGGCTGCAATTGAAATCCAAACAAATGAGAGGGGCCGAATGCAATTAAGCAAAAGTTGAGGGACCAGTTTGCAAAACTCACCTAAAAACTAGCAAGGTGGTCAGATGGGGCATCTAACTAATGAATTATTTTGGTCAACAATCGACCAAAATTTCAGCCCAAATGGAGAATCAGGCTGCGAATGATAACAGATTTCTGACAAGAAGTTGATTTTTCTAGTTCTGTTCCTAGAGGAGTTTCTGAGCAAAAAAACACGTTTGATAACGACACAAAATTTCTGTTTCAGAAAAAGAAATTTGTTTGATAACGGTACAAAATTTCTCCCTCTCGGGTGGCTGGAAAGTGGATGACGGGCAGCGGATGGAGGGGGGAGGCGGCGGTGGACAGCGATGAGGCCAATGTGGAGGATGGCGGCTAGAGGCGGTTGGCGACGGGAGGACGGCCGCTGTGGGAGGAGGATGATCGGCGGCGGGAGATGGTGGCCAGTGGACGGTGGGTGGCGGCCCACGGCGGCCGGTGATGGGAGGTGGGCAGCGGCCGAAGGCCAACAGCAGCGAGAGGAGGGAGGCCGGTAATGGGAGGAGGGCAGCCAGTGGTGGGAGACGGTGGCCGGTGGACGGCAAGCAGAGACGGGAGGCGGGCGGCGACAGGAGGAGGGCGGCCGGAGGCGTGAGCGGTGGCCGGTGGACGGCGGGCAGCGATCGGCGGTGGGAGGTGGCGGCAGCCGAAGGCGAGTGACGACGGGAAGAGGGAGGCCAACGATGGGAGACGGTGGCAGGCGGCGGGAGGAGGGTGGCCGGCAGTGGTAGATGGTGGCCGACGGTGGGAGGCGGGCGACGGCAAGAGGAGGCCGGCCGACAGCAGGAGACGGTGGCCGATGGACGGCGGCCCACGGTGGGCGGCGGTGGGAGGTGGGCGGCGGTGGCGGGTGGCCGCAACCGGCGGCGGCCGACAAGTGGGTGGCGATGGGTGGCGGGTGGGCAACCAACTAGTAACGAGGACGAGCGATAAGAAGAATTTTAATTTCTCATTTCTGTTCTAAAAATAGAAAAGCAAAATATTTTAATTTCTGATTTATGTTTCAAATCTATTTCTGGAACAAAAATTTGTTCCAGAAATAGAAAATAGAATTGCGTTATCAAACGGATTTCTGTTCCAAACCTATTTCTGGAACATAAATAGAGAAACAGAATGGTTATCATTCCCAACCTCAAAGACCAGAAAATGAGTCAAGGGTCAAATTAGAGCAAAAAGGAGGTGTTGGAACTTACATTGGCAAGATTTGAAGTGCCATTTTGCAAAATATGGCTAAGAAACCTCCATAATTCAACAAGGGCCATGAAATGCAATATATGAGGTCGACAATTGACCAAAAACTTTGTCTGAATTGAAAGGATAAGGGCGCGAGAGGATAAGGAAGCTGGGCACACATTAAGGATAAAGCAATAGCATGGGCAGCTGCTGCAGCAGGGACTGGAGAGGCTCTCATCCAGTCAAAATGGTGTGCTCCGGAGAGAAGGAGAGGACCTGGAGAAACCTCACATATCCCGGTTTATATTCGTTCAAATGACATGCTTATCGAGCTCTCCCATAAGCCATCAATTCGTGCACAAAACAGACAGAAAAACCAACTTCAACCCAGAGAATTCCAGAGTGACATGTTGAGGAAAAATGAAAATTTCACAACCTTCGAGCCAAAACTAGCACAAACTTTCAACTGGGGAGTTAAAATGCCTCAAAGAGATTTCGAACCGTAGGTGATTCGTCCCAAGCGGATGTTGAGAGAGCAGTCAAAATCCCCTTGAAAGTGACGTCATCTCGTTGGCAGGGGTGAAGTCTCAAAAAAATTCGGAATTGTTGAATGGCTAGCCGTGGGCTGGGGAAAGAGAGAGTCTTTGAGGAAAACTAGGAAATTTTGAACCAAACATATTGTTGTATGTTATAGTTTAATAAAGACTTGATAGTGTCCCTTAATCTTATATTTGCATGGGTGAGGGCGTGAAGAGTGCCTAAGCCCATGAACCCAAAAAGCTCATTTTAAGGTAGTCGATCATTAGTGAGGGAAAGTGAGAGTTCTTGAAATATATTAGGCAAAAATTGTGGCAAACCGTGACTCAGGGATCAAACTAGGATACATCTAGTTGAAGTAGATTTCAAGGGAATGGGCAAGAGAGGTCCAGGAGTCGGGTTTTACAGGCTAACAAAAACCTTCATGGTCAGTTCTCTTTTCTGCAGGTTCCCCTTTCCAGTTCAAAAGAACCAATTTCCATCACCATTTGGAGGGCAAAATTTTGATTTTCTCAGACAACGACCACGAGATTCATCAACTAGGAATCAAGGTTAGGGTTCTATTTCAGTTTTTACATGAATTTAATGAGAATAATGAAAAACAATCAACATGGTATGAAGAATTCCCTAGCCTGAACTTGTTTCACTTGCAAATGGCATGCTGGGTAGCTAGACGTTGTCAGTGAATTCTAAGGGTTCACCATGCTAGTTTAAGATGCTATGGATGTATACAAGCTCTATGGGTGGATCGAATGGGTTGTGTATGCAAGCCATATGTGCATTATGTGCAAACAATTGTCGTACATGCTACAAATAAGTGAGTATGTTGGCTGTTGTACATCACCTTTGTGCTGTGCGAGTTCGATGAGCGAGTTATGGACCTGAGCTGTGAATGAATGGACTGACACAAGTTTGTGATATGTGTATACAAGCTGTGTATACCTGCTGTATATGTTGTAGATGATAAGAGTGCATGAGAGGAGTATATGCCATGTGGATGCTGTACAGAGAAACAGTGAGTATAAATGGGTTGGAACACTCTTGGTCGTTGCATTTCGTCGAACAGTTGGAGTGCGTTCTAGGAATTCCGCTTCTCACAGCAGATTTCTGTGCTTTTTTATGATAAATCCGTGAGTTATGGTTGACAACATGAGCTAGGTTTAGTCATTTTTGGGAAAATTCCAAATCAGTACCCAAAGTGAGGCCATTTTCTCAAAAAAGGGTTCAAAATGGATATAGTGTCAAATAAGGGCCTGAAGTGCCCAATCAGTCTTAAATAGAGGCCCGAAGTGCCCAATTAGTCTCAAGTAAAGGCCTGGGTTCGCCGGCCGACGAGCACGTTGCTGTTCTGATCGCTAGAATAAGGGCAATTTCGTCTTTTACTTTTTAATTTTTTTGGTTTCTTTTTTCTTTTTACTGTTTTTTTCTTTCCCTTTTCTTTTTTCTTTCCTCTTTTCCCTCCGCTGGCCATAGCCGGGGCCGGCGGAGGTTGCCGACCTCAGGCGAAGGCTACCCAACGTCTGCGAGGGAAACCCAGGGCCGCCCTCGCCAGCGCTAGGCGAGGGCTGCCCTCGCCTGGGCTGGGCGGGCGAGGGCGACCCTCGCCAGATCCGGCGAGAGCAACCCTTGCTCTCGTCCAATGCCGGCGAGGGCAGCCTTCGCCTGAGGCCGGCAACCTCTGCTGGCCCCGGCTATGGCCGACGGAGGGAAAAGAGGAAAAAAAGAGAAAAGGGAAAGAAAAAAACAGTAAAAGGAAAAAGAAATAAAAAAAATTAAAAAGTAAAAGACGAAATTGCTCTCATTCCGGCAATCAGAACAGTGACGTGCTCGCCAGCCGGTAAGCATTTGACCGGCCAGCGAACTCAGGCCCTTACTTGAGACTAATTGAGCACTTTGGGCCCCTATTTGAGACTGATTGTGTACTTCAGACCCTTATTTGACACTATGTCCACTTTGGACCTTTTTTTTGAGAAAATGACCCCACTTTAGGTACTAATTTGGAATTTTCCCGTCATTTTTTATGTATGGATGCACCAGGTTCGGTAAACTACTGTTTTGGTTGTAACATTTCATTGAACGGTTGATGTACAATCTAGGAATGGTTTTTTTTTATTAACTTCAACTAGTTTCATTTTTGTTTAAATCATAGTTTAATGTCTACGATGCATTTAGTGGACTTTAGGATAACTTTGATTTTAACTTATATCATTTCCTATTGATAATAAAGAAAATAATTTTTTTTAAATAATGAAATACTGAAAAATAATTTTTTATAGATATTAATTTTTCCATGTAGTCATATTCATGTTCAATTGGCCTTGTTTACAATATAAAAATAAGAGAAAGATTTTTTTTGAAAAAAGGATAAAAGAAAATGGGCATTGATTGATTGCATATAATTTCATATTTATTCATCATTGTAGTCCGGGGGCTGCATTTCTCTTGTAGTAATTTGAAGTTTCATTTAAATCACTCTTGTTACATATATAATAAAAAATAAATAAATAAGGGACGAAAATTGGTATCTCATTTAGTAGTAGACTTAATGTTTAGAGTTATTTTTGTTTATCCCATCTCATCATGATGTAATGTCTGTGTCTATCATTTAGATTGGGAATTTTTATTACTTAGCTTTAGAATTAATTGCATGTTTAGTATATCTGCATAGCTCACAAGGGGATTTTGTCTCGGGGCTATGTAACAAGTTCATGTAATATTCTTTGCTCAACATTGTATCGGGTTACTTTATGTATTGTACTTACTAGCATTCTTACTAGTTGTTATCACCATATTCGATATGTGTGCTTTCATTCCTTTGTTTCCTTGATTGTGCTTTTTCCTATTTTAGTGAAGTGGTTAGACTAAACATTAGGACCACAATGAACACACAAGAACTGGCATGATCACTTAGTGGACAAGACCTCTAGGGTTCATAATTGAACAAAAGATCACATGGACACCAAGATAATAAATCAATCGAGTTAAGGTACCAAAAAAACATTAGTTGTACAACTAATGTAATCAAGTCCATGTATCTAAATTCTCTAATTGTATAGAAAGTGAGGTATTATCACATACCTTACTCGGTTTATAGCTGATCTCAATAGGCTAGTGGGGACTCCCCTTGAGATAAAATTCTCATAGGCAAATCAAATGAAATGAAGATCCCAAAGTTGCGCGAGACAAGATTTGAGAGAACCCGTCCCATCATTCCTCTCTTTTATCCTCTCCTCATTATTCTCAATCAAACACCTAATCACTCATTGTAAAGCTATACAATAACACTCAACTAATAATGCTCGAGATTTTGCTGCCACATAACAAAAACTATCACCCAAATTCATCTATGAATATCTTACAAGCTTTCCCTTGCTCGAATCTTCGGTCAGCGGAACCAAAGAAGCAGCCTCGCCATGAACAGCGAAGTTAGGGATAATTAGCTGGTCGCAAGACACGCGACAAGGTGGAGTTTTATAATACTCAATCCCATTAATAGAGCTCCTAGGTACATGAACATTCTGATTCAAGCTTTGAGCACTCTTCGGTGTTGTGTCCTTTGGATCTTTGAGGGTCGTCGAACTGGGTTGTCTAGGCTGCGTTTGGTAGAACACCTTGGACACGACCAGCTCTCCATCTCTCTCCTCTTCGCTTTTACCGACGTGGTATTGGTGCATCACCCAGTTGGTCTTCTCAGGCTTCCTTTGCCTCCCATAATTGGTGTAGAGCACAAGTATCTTCTTGAACCCTTTCACGACTCTGCCTGCGAGGACCGACCTTGTCTTGCCCGTCTTGTGCCACCTTGTCTCACACTCATCAGCGTTCTTCTGGACTCTGCGCCGTTTCCTATTCCCAGTGGCATATGCCTTCGAAGGCCGGTGGAAGAAGTGGCGGATTTGTCCATCTTTGCTTACACCTGCATAATGCGCATGGAAGACTCAAATGAGATTTGTAGAAAATGGAACTCTGAGTGTCGTAAACTTGATTAGCTCATTTAACTGATAAAGATGAGGTGAGTTGTAATCATATTTCCTACTATTCGCATTCTCTATAGACTTAAGATTCTAAACTCATCGATCGGTTGCGTATTCAGTTTCAACACATAAAAAGTGCAAATTGTTTCACCCTTCTATGGATAGTTGCAGTCTCGATTTTGTTGTTACATCCACATATGAAGAACTTAAATTTTGAGCTCGTCATTATAGTTTGCATGCAAACAGAACTTGTCATGCGACATTTCGATGTAGAGTCTACAGTATGTGGCATGGCATGATATCTCTTACTATCAACATGAGCATGTGAACATTTGAAGAGCAATTGATTATATAGAAGGGAAAATTCTAAAGCTGAAATTTGAATTGTTGTTCCCCATAAATTTGTTATATGTATTTTCTTAACGTAAACTACTTACTCAATGCAACTGATACGAATCAAACGCACTTTTTTGGGTCATTCTAACTAAATTAAGCTAGCTTTTATTCTAAATTGCATAACAAATTGAAGCAATCGCAATTGCAGATAGGCAAACACAAGAGATGAGCTTTGAATTAGATTTCACATTGTTGATGCGATGAGCCATAACTTTAGATCTCATAGGAGTTATGAGACACGTGATATCAATTTGAAAAGCTCCTTCAAAAGTCCTACTTGATGCATGGCTAAGTTAAAATGGGTTACTTTTTTGTATACATGTCAAGTTTGGTTTACACAAATTGTCGTGAATGTGTATCATCTTGTATGTTTATCTATTTTGAGAGCAAGGTCAATATACATTACAAATTCTAATTCATACGTGACATGCATTTACCACAATCTTGTAAACTAAACTTACGCAGGCTGGAAAGAATATAATAGATCAGAAGTCACTCCTATGATCACAAAACCAGAAGTTTAATAGTTGTATCTACAAGACTTCTGCATAATAGACTCGAAGATGATCGATTTGATGTTTTGTTTTAAACTAATTTGTTGAGGGATAAGACTTTCTAACAAGAAAGGTGATTTGGGATTGAGCAATATGCATGGTAATCTTCAAAGAGTTCATTAAAGAGAAATCGCACCCATATAATTATAGAGACTTATGTTCTGTGAAAGGTTTACCTAAACTGATGACACATGAAAAGCAGTGTCCCTATCATGAAGATAGGATAATAATTTGACAAATTTCCAATTAAAAGAGAGGAGACACATCGATGTTCCAATCAATAAAAGACCACAATATATGCAACAAGATTTTGAAAGTGTTGCTACTTCTTCAATTAGTGTAAAATCCCCCGACCAAAGATGTCCAGTTAAACCCAGAACAGGCTCAAACATCATCATACGAACTGCCAATAGAGATATATTTTCCAGTAGGGCTTTGCTAGCATAGCAGTATTTGGGCCACTATTAGAGTAATAGCATGCTGTGAGCCACAAATTCTTAAATTCTTAAAGGAGTGGACCTCATAATAATTTGTAATTATTTGTTATTCTCGCAATGAATTAAGGACAGTTACATAAACAATTCTCTTTCCAGTATATTATGGATAGCATTAATCATACAGAGTATTCATGGAAATACGCAATCATGATCCTAAACTGCCAAATTCTAAACCAAAAGTAGTATATGTTTTGCAGACGATTCAGGTATTTGATTATCTAAGACATCGGTATACGGAAGAAGATTATACTTTCTTGAATCAAATGGCATTAACGGCGCGATTTCCTTTATGCGTGCCATGACTATGTGCCAATATCGTGCGCATTTGCATTTATATCTGAAAAATATCTGGCTTATTAACTGATAAAACCTCTTCGACTTGCATATGAAAAAGAATTTGGATAAAAAACATATGCATCTCTTCCTCTAAATTATAGCTTAGGCAGAGGAATTACTCCCACTATACAGCCCAAACATTCAAAAAGGCCCCAAAAAAAATGAAAAACTAAAATGCAAAAATTTCTTTCTATAAAGGGAAAATTTCATTTTTTTTTCAAAAAGATTGATAACATTTAGGTTAACACATTAATTATCATAAAATTATTCCAGAATTACCTGGAAGTCTCTCTGGGTGTGTACAACAAATACCATCATCTCCTTCCAATGTGGGAATGAATTGATCAATGAGAAAATGAATCTTCCTCACATCCCCAATTATTTTCGCTTCCAAATGCTCCAAGATTTCTTGGTCCGTCGGATCAAACTTCACTCCCGCTGGTAGTCCCACCAAATCATGCACAACCCCCCTCTACACCACAATTATTTCATAAATTACACATTAATCTCTTACATCCTTAATAATAACAAAAAAATAAATAAAACCCTCAAGAGGAAACTAAACATACAACACAAAACCAAAACAAACAGAAAAAAAGTAAGTGATAAATACCTGATCAAATAATGGGAAGCTGTGGCCACATGAAGGGCATGTTGCGGTGGGAAGAAGACTACTGTCATCATCCTCATCATCATCATCTCTAGGATTATAAGTTGATGGGATTATGGCTCTTGCATCTTCTGTTAGCCAAGCCATTTCTTTTCTGTTCTTCTCTGGCTCTCTTGCACATCCCACACCAAGATTTCATCTATCTCCTTAGGCTCCAAAGTCAAGTTTGAGCAAAACCTCTACAAATTACTGCATGCAAAGAAGAGGGTTTGAACTTTCTAAACTGAACTATTTATAGAACTCAGTTCTTATAGAAACTAGCATGTTACGAGGGGGAGGTCGGAACCCGATAATTTATTAATAGGGAAGATGCAATGCGTAAGGAGAGAATAGCTTGCACGGCAAGTTTGGGTTCGGATTACGTATATGCAAGCGTACGGCGGACTTGAATCGCGTCCCTCGATCAGGTTTTCATTTTGTTCAACAGGAGCGTGGGACCCCCTCTCCTTTCTTTTTGTCGACTGGCATGAGCTTTTACGACATATTCGGTGAAAAGGCAGGAGATTACGGAAGAAAGCCGTGTTTTGACCAAAAGAGAACAGAAGAAAGTCAACCATGAAACCCGTTTCATAAGATCTTGTAGAAGATCGAGTAACAGTTTTTTTACCGTTATTTCTGTTACTTCTCCCTTCGCACGCAGAGAGAGAGATGGGGGATACAGTAGATGCAGAGTTTCAATCCAGATCTCAGAGGGACTCGATTGCATGCCGTCGACAGAGCTCAAGGATGCCATCGACTCGACGGACTTGGCTGCACGCCGTCGACACGGAGCTCGACGCATCAACAACTCCGGGGAGTGAGAGAGAGAGAGAGAGAGATTTCAGGGGCACGGCGGAGACGCTGTGACGTAGCTTGGAGCTGCAACGCCGGCATCGGTGGCCGGAGATGGGCGGAAGATCGGAGCCGCGCAAGTAAAATTCACCCGGCCTGGACGGAGGATCTCGAGGCGGGTGCTGGTTGGTTCCACGTAAGCAGTTGCAGGGAGCGAGAGATGAGACCGGTTGCACTGGATCGCTGCCCCCGCCGACTTACTGTGTGTGGACAGGAATGGTCCGTCGTTAGCTTCCATGGGAAGATACACGGCCAGGAGGGGAACTCTTAAGCGTTAAGCTTCGTGAGGACAGCGACCCTAACGTAGGGACCAGGGTTTTCATTTGATTGTCGTCGACTTTTGGTCTCTTTCTGCCGAAGTTTCCTTCAGTCGGCTACCCGACCATCCACATCAGAATCAATTCGTTTTGACTTAAGTCCGCCCGCGGACGGATTTTGCGGAAGAAATTGAAAAATCAATTCTAAACTTTTTTCAGGGAGTACGACGGAATCTTAAACTTTTGTGATGAATTTTTGTGCGAAATTTCAATATAAATTTTCCGGCCAATTTCCATTGGAAATTACTGACATTGGGATGCACCGTGCAAGATAGCTGGCAATGACTGGATCGTCACGTCAACGATTTTCAGGTGAAGATTGGCCAAAATGACTACATTGAAATCTCATACAAAGATTTAAAATTAAATTGATAAAATTCAAAAGTTTGAACTAGATTGACATATGTATAATATGTAAGAATAATGTGACCAACATGATGTTATGAATTAATGGTTTAATAAATATTTAAGTGCTAAAACGTATTGCCTATGAAAAATAGATGAAAATGTGTAATTCTATTGATAAGTTAAAATTCCTCCAAAGATGTGCAATTCTTATGAAGTGGGATATGCTTTGATGGAAGGCATCACTTGAAGGGATATATATAAAAAGAGTCTGGTTCTCTCTCCACCTACGATAACGTACAAAAAGAACGCTGTATTTTTTATCCTCCATCGATAAAATACATTAAGTGAAAAGTGGGTTAAGGGAGAGAAATTAGATTTCTTTGTTTCTTCCATTTTCTGCAACAATTATCTTCAAGGGAAACGTTATGGATAAAGGTATGTCTTCATCCCTCTTATTGTGAAAATTATGAAGATCTAAGATCTTAGATTTCATAAATTTTCCGCATAAAAGGATTACGTTCTAACTTACAGTTGGTATCAGAGCGTGGTTTAGGATCTCATGGTTATTTCGATTATGGTTTATGGGATAAAGATTCATATTGCTCTTTTCTTGTTATTTGCCTGTTGTTGAAATGGTTTCAGTGGAAACGAGGCGAAAAAAAACAAGAAAGTGAAAGGGCGTGATAAAGAAGGCGCGTGGCCTCCACACGCGCGTTGCTGTTGCAGGCGCGTGGGTGCACGCGTTGACGCGCGCAGTGAAGGAGAGGCGCGTGTCACGCACACGCCAGCACTGCGGATGTAGGCGCATGCACTACACCCGCCCGCAGGGCAGACACGGGCGCGTGCCGTGCACGTGCCTTCTCTCCCCTCCGCTAATTATGTTTTTGCCCTCTCCGCTGGTTACTTATGATTCTACCCTTCTCCACATGATTTTACGGTTCTGCCCTTGACCGTTTGATTTACTGTTTTACCATTGACCGAATTATTTACCATTTTGCAACTGGCTACTGAATTTACGGTTCTGCCCCCTATCGATTCTGATTTTACAATTTTGCCCTTACGCATTAATTTATGATTTTGCCCTTACATGCAATTTGGTGAATGTTTGTAAATAAAACAATTATTGTGTTTTACAATTTCACGAATTCAATTATGAGTGGTTTATCAGTCACCAAAGTGGCCGAACCATGATGTCTTGAATTTTTGAAATTGTATAATGTTTCTTTCAATTATCCATGATTAATTGATGCTATGATTGGAATTGATATATTACATATCTTTATTGGTGTCGTGGGTATATTGAAGTTTATTTATTATAAGGACTTAGGGATTAACCCAAAGGTTAATCAATTTCTTATAATTTATGAACATAATAGTTGGTAATTAATATGTCTTGTTAAATTTGTTTGTATATCCAAAGATATCAAATAAATTTTAATGGAGTGTATTTATAATTACCAAATAAAAGTTATTAGCATCATTGTGGTTTATTGTATGTTTGTATATTATAGGATCACCCAAAAGAGAACTATGATATACATGTAATGTTTAATTTGAATATAATAATGTGATATTCTCAAAGCATTATTGTATGAGTATATTCTTGTATATTTGCAGTATCTATACCTGTTTCTCTTCATTCGCATGCTTCGTCTATTCCTTTATTCAATGGAATAAATTTCCCTGATTGGAGTGAACAAGTCCAATTTCACCTAGATGTCTTGGATCTTGATTTAGCACTTCAAATTGAGAAACCGGCTGCTATTACTATTGAGAGCAGCAATAATGAAAAGTCTTTCCATAAAGCTTGGGAAAGATCGAACAGATTAAGCTTAATATTTATGCGAATGACAGTTGCAAAACAACTTAAAGACAACTCTTCCCAAAACTGACAATGCTAAGGAATTTATGAAATTTGTGGAAGAGCATTCTCAACTGCTGATAAGTCACTAGCTGGTACATTGATGAGTACTTTGACCTCCATGAAATATGATGGTTCACGTACCATGTATGAATATGTACTAGAGATGACAAACTTAGCGGCAAAATTAAGGACTTTGGGAATAAACGTGGATGAGTACTTTTTAGTACAGTTCATACTTAATTCCTTGCCTCATGAACAATATGGGTCATTTCAAATGAATTACAACACTATAAAGGACAAGTGGAATGTAAATGAATTGGCCAGTATGCTTGTTTAAGAGGAAACAAGGATAAAGAATCAAAAGACTCATTCTGTTCATCTCTTAAGTCATCAAGAAGCTGAGAAGAATTCCAAGAGGAAAGGTGGAAGGAGCAAGAAGAAAGGTTTACACAACCTAAATGACTCTTCTAAGGCTTCTTAAATCCACAAGAAGGAACACAATCTTATTAAGTGTCACTTTTGTAATAAAATTGGACACTTGAAGAAAGATTGTTTGAAGAATAAAGTTTGGTTCGAAAAGAAAGATAAGCATTATGCTTTAGTATGTTTTGAATCAAACTTTACTGAAGTTCCTCATAATACTTGGTGGATTGATTCTGGTGCCACCACTCATGTTTCAAATACGATGCAGGGATTTCTTTCGATCCAAACCACAAAGCCAAAAGAGAATTATGTGCTCACGGGGAATAGAAACAAAACTCCAGTTGAAGGCATTGGTACTTATCGTTTGATCTTAGATATTGGGCATTATTTGGATTTGTTTCGAATCCTTTATGTACCTACTTTTTCCCGCAATTTAGTTTCTTTGCCAAAACTTGATGTAGCGTGATTCTCTTTTAAGTTTGGTTGTGGATCTTTCAGTTTGTATAAGAATAATAATCTTATTGGAACTGAAATTTTATGTGATATTCTCTACAAGTTTAAACTTGATAATGCTTTTGCCGAGACCTTAATGACCTTGTATCGTAATGTTGGCACTAAACGCAGTTTAGTGGATGAGAATTCTACTTACTTGCGGCATAAACGTTTAGGTCAGATATCCAAAGAAAGAATGCAAAGATTAGTGAAGAATGAAATTCTTCCAAATTTGGATTTTACTGATTTTGGAGTGTGTATTGATTGTATTAAGGGTAAACAAACAAAACACACTAAGAAAGGTGCCACAACAAGCACAGAGCTTCTTGAAATTATACACACTGATATATGTGGTCATTTTGATGTTCTATCTTTTGGTAAAGAAAGTTATTTTATCACATTTATTGATGATTTTTCACGTTATGGTTATATTTATCTATTGCATGATAAATCTCAATCAGTGAATGCACTTGAGGTGTATATTAAAGAGGTTGAAAGGCAATTAAATAAAAAGGTAAAAATAGTACGATCGGATAGATGTGGTGAATATTATGGAAAGTATGATGAATCGGAACAATGTCCGAGTCCATTTGCTAAATTCCTTGAAAGACATGGTATTTGTGCTCAATATACAATGTCAGGTACACCACAACAAAATGGTGTAGCAGAGAGGCGTAATCGTACTTTAATGGAAATGGTTAGGAGTATAATGAGTTATTCATCTCTACCCTTATCATTGTGGATGCATGCATTAAAGATTTCTATGTATTTATTAAACAGGGTTCCTAGTAAGGCAGTTCCAAAGACTCCCTTTGAACTGTGGACGGGAATGAAACCTAGTTTACGACACCTGTATGTTTGGGGTTGTCTAGCAGAAGTAAGAATTTACAATTCACATGAAAAGAAATTGGATTTAAGAACAACCAGTGGTTACTTCATTGGTTATGCAGAGAAATCCAAAGGGTATAGATTTTACTGT